AAGGGCCCTTCAACCCAAACCATCCCATGAGTCTGATTCCTTTGTCAGCTGTTCCTCCAGCAGAGATTGCATTTCTCAGCAGCCCAAGTCAAGGGTAAATCCCACACTCCCACGTTATTGCGAGCTGTGGGAAGTGTATATATAGGAATGTAACTCCCTTAAAGACATTGGGAGACTTCTGGGGGGCAGAAGTATTGAGAGGTACGGTTTCTGTGGAAATGAGGAAAAGCTGCTTGTCCAACGTCAGTTCATCCAGTTACCCTCTGTATAGAAATGGTGTGTGGTTCAGTAAACCCTGTTCTCCCGTGTTTCTCCTGCGGAAGCTTGTGTCACACCGTGCGAGAGTGGCGCGTGCTGAAAGACGTGTCCATTGTGAGCAAGGCTTTGCCCAGCCCAAGTTTGTGTTTGGATGCTTCTGTTTGCCTCTGCGTGTGTGTCACGGAATTGCCTCTCCTTGGTACTGGGGGCCCGAAGTCCCACCTTGGATTAAATACCCGTGGGCACGTGGTTTGGAGCCTTTGGGACTAAAGCTTCGCAGGGAACCGTTTCTCACCACAGTAACGGTGGTGTGCAGTGGATATTGCGGCTTTGCGCCGGGTTCATGTGTTTGTGGGTTGTGGGAGCGTGTCACAGAAACTGCGTGTGCTCTGGTCCTCTGTCAGCCCTGGAAACGGCTCTCCAGCCTCGGTCGTGTGTGTCTGGGTGGGAACTCACAGCGGAAGAGACGAGGGACCTGTACCCCATCAGGGAATACGGCGTTCGGAGCAGAGCAGTGCTGTGGGTGTTTCCTTAGGTGTTACTTTCCTCTGTGCTGGGAAGAATTGGAATGTCCGCCATTGAAACATGGCACGTCTTTAACGTTGGAGTTGTGTTTGAAGGGCCGGATCTGTGGTGTCGAGGTGCGTAGGGCTGCGAAATCGGCCCGTTTCCCATGTGAGAGATGGCGGAGCGTCACCACTGCAGATCAGGCGCGTGTTAGCTCGGAGGGGTCAGGCATCTGCCCATGCCAGCGCTGGGGTTATTTATGTGTTCCTTTAGGGTTGGGTGTTGTTGGGGTGGGGTTTGTGGGTTTGGTGTTTCGGTGGTTGTGGTTTTGTGTGTGGTTTTTGTTTGTTGGGGTTGTTTTGAGGGCAAGGTGATTCTCTTTGACCTCAGCAAGGGTGCCGGTGTCACTGCTCCTACGAGGAAGGCATTCAGGCCCTTAACTTGTGTTTTTAACACATTTTAAAAAAATCTCTTTGCATGGCAAAGGGAAAATAAAAACCCACTTGTTTTGCTTCCCCCTAACCCCTCTCCTCCCTGCTTTTTTGTTTGATTAATGGTCAGCCAGCAGTTTGGAAGCGGGTTTCTGTCACCAGACGTGCCCGTTTCCAGTCACAAGCTCTTGCTTCTGCTGCCGGTTTCGATGGGCTTGTCTTCGCGAAGCAGCGTGAGCTCCCCGTGCCGTTGTGAGCTCATGTGCTGCGCGCAGCCGGCCTTCTGGCCTGCTGGGCCGCTGGCTGGGAAGGCGCCAAGGCCGCACACGCTTCCTGGGCGACGACGCGTGCCGCCCGGACCTCAAGTCCCGTTGGAGCATCTGGCCGTTGCTGGAGCTGACGGAATGAGGGGCGTTGTTACACCCCATGGGCTTTGCCGGTGTGTATTTACGGTGAATGCTTGCGGCGGAATCGCGCTGGGTACGTGGGGAATGCTTCCTGAAGGGAAGATCGGGCTGTCGGAGGATAGTTCTCGCCGTGTGCGTGGCCATTGCCGGGCGCCGCTGGCATTGCCGTGTTGCCCGCAGCTGCGTGCCGTGCTGCTCGCGCAGGTTTGGCGCTCCGCCTGCGCTCCCTGGCAGCCGCGTGCCCCTGGCAAGCGGGACTTGTGTCTCCGTGGTGAGCGTATGAGTCGGGCGGGTTGTCAGAAGTAGCCGGAAACAGTGTTCTGCAGCTGCCTCGGAAGCGCTGTAACGGAGCAGTGGGGCCTGGTGAAGTGATGGGAAGATGTTTGCCGTGTGACCTGAGCGTGGTGTTCCTTGTTCTTGCAGGTGTTCAGTATGCTGCTGTCCATCGGGATGCTGATGTTGTCTGCCACTCAGATATACACGATTGTGACCGTTCAGTTATTTGCTTTCCTGAATCTTCTACCCGTGGAGGCAGATATTTTAGCCGTAAGTACAGGAGTATTTTTCTGCTTAGATGAAATCTCTATAGAATTGCATCTTCTTTTAAACTGTTCCATTAACAGATGAGTTATTACAGTAAACGCTGCAGCTTGGAGTGGGATTGCCTGAACAGCTTAGTTCAGTTAAACAACATGTACCTTTTCAAACGTGCTTACGGATGCGGTGTGCTCAGACCCCTGCTTCCCTGTGTCATTTCAAGGTTCCAGTCCGACCAGACATCTTATCCCATGGGTTAACCCTGTGAAAGAATCCCATAGTATTTGGTTCTGACAGCAATTTGAGTTTTGGTGATGGATGCCATCTGTAGGGTAACTGTATAGAAACATGTATATAACTGGATATAAACCGACGGTGCGTGTGCGCTGGAGGCCATGCCAGGGGAGTTTTGGCGTGTGTTACACCTAGGTACCTACTGTAAATAGCTGACAGTCCGTGCTGTCATTAGGAATAATACTAGTGTGGCCAGCAGGGCGAGGGAGGGGGTTCTCCCCCTCTACTCTGCTCTGGGGAGACCCCACCTGGAGTGCTGCATCCAGCTGTGGAACCCTCAGCATCAGAAGGCTATAGACCAGTTGGAACGAGTCCAGAGGAGGCCACGGAGATGATCCAGCGTCTCTCCTATGATGAAAGGCTGAGAGAATTGGGCTTGTTTAGCCTGGAGAAGAGAAGGTTCCAGGGAGACCTTATTGCAGCCTTCCGGAACCTGAAGGGGCTACAAGGAAGCGGAGGGGGGGCGTCTCCCAAGGGCAGGGAGTGACAGGACAAGGGGTAATGGGTTTGAACGGAAAGAGGGAGATGGAGATGGGACATCAGGAAGGAATTCTTCCTGCAGAGGGGGGGGAGCACTGGGACAGGTTGCCCAGAGAAGCTGTGGATGCCCCATCCCTGGGAGCGTCCAAGGCCAGGCTGGATGAGGCTTGGAGCAACCTGGGCTAGTGGAAGGTGTCCCTGCCCGTGGCAGGGGGGTTGAAACTAGGTGGTCTTTAAGGTCCCTTCCAACCCAAACCATTCTGTGGTTCTTGGATGTGTGGAATTTGAAATGATCAGACTAATGCGCAGCCCAATGAACATGAGGTCAGCGGTAGAAGTTGCTGCTGGGCTATTTGTTACCGGTACTATGTGCAGTGCAGTTCTGGGGGGAAAGGTACGTGTGTCTGAAGAAGGGAGCGTAAGCCACTGAGGTAATGAAAGCCAAGTACTGCAGTTTCTAGACTCTGCTGCGTACAGTGATGCCCAGGCAAGCTGGGAACAGAGTATCATTCATTTAGGAGAACAGAGCGAAACCCCGTGACGCTAAAAGTTAAAATAAAAACGTGGGTTGAGGAATACTGAATTATGGACCTTGGGGTTGTAACTATGCGATTCCTTTTTTGTAGATAAAACATTTTAGGAAGCAGTGCAGATAGTTGCTTCCTCATGGAGCTGACATCACTGTGCTGTTGGGAAATTGTAAACTGGCTGTCTACTGTAAACCTCGTTCCCCTCCCTCTTTCCTCTCCCCAAGCCCAGGCTTCCTCTTTTCATAAAAAAACTGATGTTCTTTCTTGCTACTTCCTTCCTTAGCAAAAATAGGATAAACACCCGGCCAACCTAAACGAAAACAAAACACCCCCCAACCTCAGAAATAGTTAGAAAAACCATTTTGTAAGTTTAATTTCTTCTATTTAAGCTTCTGTGCGCAGTGTTCAGAAAGAATTCCGTCTGAGAGTGAAGTGTCTTTTATTCCTGGAAGTGAAGTTGCAGATGTGTTCTGAGGACGTCCCTGAAGCAGGACACGAAGAGATGAGCTAGACACTTAAACCAGCTCTGAGAGGGAGCTGGTGGAATGCTTGGCATACTCGAGGGAAAAGGGAATGTTTGCACAGCATCACGTGGAGTTGAGGGCATACAGCTATCTTACAGTTGGGAGAGAGTTTGTGCTTTAATGACTTGTCCGTCTGGGGAGCAGAATTCCAGCCGAAGTTTTGGGTTTGCCCACGAAAGAAATTCTCTATGGATTGAGTAGTGGTGTTATGCTTCCGTGTTCTCACGTGGTTGCAGCCTCAAATGAAGGAGTATGTCTGTGTGAAGTTCTGTGACGTATGTGTGAAGCATCATTGGTTATTTTTTAAATACAGGATAAAAATAAATGGGATCAAGGAATCTTTTAGGTTGAAAAAGCTTCTTAAGCCCACCCAGTCCAACTGTTACCCCAGCACTGCCCAGCCCCCCACTGACCAATGTCCCTGGGCACCTCGTCCACACGGCTCTGAAACTCCCCCGGGAGGGGGACTCCCCCCTCCCTGGGCAGCACATTCCTGACCGCCCTTTCCAGGATTTTCCCTGCATTTCTCTTGTCCATTGCTTGTCCCACAGAGAAGAGACCAGAAGAGGCGGTAGGGTGGGAGATGAGGAGAGGTGGCGGAGCGGCTGGGGTGCAGAGGACAAACGTGCTGCCTTGCAGTGTGTCTCCATCCCCACCTCTTTCCTCGCGGTTTCTTTAGAGGCTGGAGCCGGGCCTCTGCCAGCAGGATGGCATTTGCGCTGGAGACAGTAGAAAGCAAACTTTGACGTGCAGCTCATTCAGTGACCTCTCGCTTTCTAGTTTTACAGCTGGGTACGGAGAGAACGCCGTTGCCGTGAAGGGAAGGCAAGTCCTGTGATCACGTTGACGTGGTCACAGACGGTCCTGTGTCCAGAGATCTTAATCTAAACCAGTACACGGTGGTGTTTATTTACACTCGTTACCTATTTCTTTCTTGTTGCAAACCTGAATTTTCTTTAAACTTTATTTCTCTTAGTATAACCTTGAAAATGGAACCCAGACCTTTGATGATCTACCTGCTAGATTTGGCTACAGACTGCCAGCAGAAGGCTTGAAGGTAAAAATACAAATATTACAGATACTTCCTGAAAAAATACATGTATATGGGACTGGATGTGCTGGACTCTTCTTTTGTAAGCTAAAAAAGATGGAAGTTAAATGAAAACAGTGCTGAGGAGAAACAAATACAGAAGCGATGAATCGCTGCTCATGCACGACGAGTGTGCAGAGGGTCTGCTGGGAACTGCTGCCTGTGAACAGGAGACTTCCCTCCCAAGAGGAGAATTTGGCTGCTCCCGCCATGCGTGTGTACGGGAGCATTCGCTGAGTTTTATTAACAGACAAGAGCTGAACGATGGGGCTCTGAGGAGCAGGTTTGTTGACCGTTGTTTTCTGAGCTGGTGGCGGTACCGATACCGTACCTCGCACTGGTGTCCCTGGGTGCCGGGTTGGATTTTGCCTCTGTGTATTCAAAAAGAATACTGGGAGGATTTCTCATCTCTGGAGGGTTGAGTAGTGGCCAGCCCTCTCACACTGTAACCCTAAGAATTCCTCTGCAGATGAACCTCGGGAAGACTTCATTTGCACACCCAGTGGGCCGTGTCCTGGGGAGGAGCGTGTTAGGGCCCAGGGTTGTGTGCTGATAATACAGGGAAGCAGAGGGCGATTAAGTGATTTGCCCAACTAATGAGCGAGTTTAATACATCAAAAATAGGCATAAGGAGCTTTGATTCTAACCTTTTAACTGTTAGACAGCTCTGTCTTGACTAAGGAACATGTTGTCACCTGGGTAGGAATAATGAGTAGAATACTAACTTTTTTGGTTTGCATTAGGCTTTTAATTATTTTATTAAACGCTGTGGTATTGGTTGAAATAGGATGAAGCCAGTAAACTCCCTCGGTGCTTATGATTAGGATTTATTAATGTGCAAGTCGTAAACCACAGTCTGTCATTCGGTGGTACCTGGTGCCAAAGCGTAAACGCAGGTGCGTTGGTGTGGCTTGTGTGCCCCGGGCACGCGGCGCTGGGTTGTTTGTGCCTGCGCCTTGGAGGAGCAGCTCCTCGGCCGCGGTGCTGAGGTACGTGCGGTAGCACTGGGAGAAATCGGGTCACGTCGGGGTTAGTCCTGACCTTGCCTGTCAGCAAAGAGTCGAGTTTCCACTGGGCGTTGCTGTTAATGGTTGCAGCCTGTGTAATGTTGGGCCTGTCGCCGCAGACTGGGCAAAGAACAGATTGGTGCAGCTTTGCCCCTCAAAACAAAGGTGCTAGTAGTCAGAAATACATGGTTAACGCGTATTTATGGATAGGACATAAGGTTGTGTATGACAGTACGTGTAAGCCGACAGCTGGTACACACACGCTGTACATAAACTCACATCTGTGTTTAAGCTGGCAGTTTATACGGGAGTTTGTGTTTAGTTACTCTCCATAACCACTGCTGTTTCTACAGAGGGGATGGCGTCTCTCTCTGTCCAGCGCTGTCAGTGCGCTCAAGCACACCTCTACAACTGTACCGATAATTTCTTGAGCCCAGAGCAGTGCAGCTTCTGGCAATCCGTATTTGCATAAAGCCAAGGAGTTGTATTCCTGTTCTCTGGCAGTTTGTGTCTCTCTATGATAGCTTGCTCTGGCTGTAAAATGGACTTAAACGTGGATCTCACAGCAATGTCCTTATGCCAAACGATGCTCCACTGCGTTAGCAACCACAGGCCCCTGTCCCGCGGGCGTTACCGCACAAACACCCTACAGAGACAGTGCTGTTCTGTTTGGGATGAAGAGAAGGCCAAGCCTCCTCCTGGGAAAGCAGCTGTTGGTATGCTGGGTCTGCGTTACCTTGCACACCAAACTGCTCTGGTTCCCCCTTTTAGTTGCCAAGAGCGAAGCTGGTGTTGGTGCTGCTTCGGCTGTGACAGTGCAGCGCTCCCAAGTCTCCGTATGTCTTAAGAGTTCCACACGGTCACAGAGTGGAAGGGGTTGGAAGGGACCTGTAGAGACCATCTCACCCAACCTCCTGCCAGAGCAGGATCCCCCAGAGCAGATCCCACAGGAACAAGTCCAGGGGTTTTGGGAAGTCTCCAGGGAAGGAGACTCCCCACCTCTCTGGGCAGCCTGCTCAGGGCTCTGTCACCCTCACAAGGAAGAAGGGTGTCCTCATGGTCAGGGTGAACCTCCTGTTTCCAGTTCATGGCCCCTGCCCCTGTGCAGTCCTTTTTATGCTGAATCGTACTGCAGAGCCTGAGTTAGGAACTTCAGGTGATGCAACTGGAAACACTGTGTTTCCTCTCTAGTGTTCTGGTTCCTCACAGACACGGATTCTGAGGAGTCAACGTAAATAGTCAGGGATGTGATGTAGCACTGAGCTGATGATAAGGATTTGTTTCCCTGCTGTATGGAAATGGACAGTTGTCTCTCCTTGTCTACCAACCCTTTTGTTAAGACAAAGCGAACTCAAGCTCCTGTTTCTGTTCCTGTTTTCTAGGGATTCCTCATAAATTCAAAGCCAGAGAATGCGTGTGAGCCTATAGCCCCTCCCCCACTGAAGGACAACTCCTCCAGTGCTTTCATCGTGTTAATTCGAAGGCTGGAGTGCAACTTCGACACCAAGGTACGATTGTTTGGCGGTGGTTTGAATTCTTTTTTCACCTCTCTGTTTCTTAAGGAATTTACAATGTGTCTGAAAAATATCCGTAGCCCGCAGCAGGAGGGATACTGATGGGAGTGGAAAGCAGAATTTGGCTGTCTGCAGGCAGGTATAGCAGTCGGGTCGCCCGCTTCGGAGCCAGCTCACCTGGCAAACAAGGACGCGGGATGCTGCAGTGCTGGAGTAGAAGGCATTAGGAGTCCGCTATCCCTGCCAGTTAGACTGCTGCCGGGGATCGCAGGGCAGCGGGGGCGACCCGGGGTCCGCCAGTTTCCTTTAATAGCTGGGTTGTCGTGTGGCTGACACTGAGACCCCGTGAGCAGCGGTGGTGTCGCAGTCGGTGGGGAGAGTGGCAGGGTTGGGGATAGTTTTGAGGGGGTATGACAGGTAGATGTTCTAGCATGAAGACTTTGTGTTATAAAGGTGCAGTCCTGCAGCTGAGGTTTGACCTGGTTACCTTAAAAAATACAAACTCGAGTTCGTTGTGTTGGCTTATCTCGTGAGAAACGGGGGGAGTGTGTGTGTATTACGGGCATTTTCCCCTCTGCTGACGGGGGTAGAGCTCTGGAAAAGGAGCACCAGCACCCCCCAGGTTTTCCAGATCCGCTGGTGGTCATCCGCCCTGAAAAAGGTGGTGGCGATTTCTGGGTGATGTGCAGGACGGGGTCCCGTCAGGCTGGGTTGTACGTGTGGGGTTTGTAAGGGAGATGCTGTGCTTGGTCTGTGCGGATTCAGAAAGCTGTGTGGAGCCATGACATGCAAGTGCTCCAAGTGTTTCCCAGGTCAAGGCGTGTCAAGCTGTCATCTCCCGTTGAGTTGCACTTACTGGTTGGTTGCCCCTTATGTAATACGGGCTCCTTAAATAAGTGGATGCAGAGCTGTTACTCGTCCCTTCCTAGCTGGGGTCAGAGCCACTCTGTCCAGCCACAGCCAAGCTCGTCACGCTCTATGAAACAGGAGTCGAATACAGGATGAAACCCAAGTGTTCCTCAAGGTTTTCAAGTGCTTTTTTGCATCCCGCGAGGAGTTTCTGGTCTGTCGTGGGCGCGCCAGAAGCAGTATCTAAGATGAACAGTTGTGACGTAGTTATGTTGATGTCAGTGGTAGTAACTGCAACCAGTGCCGTTTACTGGGCCTGGGGCTGTGCCTGCAGGGACAGGGAGCCGCTGTGTGCCAGAGACGTAACTGGGGTTGATCGCTCTGTGCCCGGCTTATACTTGTACCTTCCCACGAGGAAGGGCCTGATGCCTGGGCTGTCAGATGGGGTATTCCCACATCTAAAGGTGCAGAAAAGATGCTACTTGCGTGACTTTGAGCGATCGAGTGGTAACTTCTAGTTTACCAGAGTTAGTGCCTTTGTTTGCAACTCCGATTAAGTACTATTTTTATCTAATAGAAAGGTTTTAACCCTGTTCTTAAGATACTTGAGAACTGTGTGCCTGCAGACAATATTAAACGATTTTTCTGGAAAAACAATGTAATAACGCAGGCGTAGGAGGAACGGCGTGAGTTTTGAAAGGTGATGCGTTGCAGATGATGACGTGCTGAGATCTGTAGTTCCCTGGCAGCGTAGCTTGTCGGGGGCATGGGCTGGTCACTGCATTCGGAAGCAGTGTTTGAAGCAGAACACTAACGTCGTGTTGTGTGGCTTGCAGGTGTTAAATGCCCAGAGAGCTGGCTACAAGGCAGCGATAGTCCACAATGTTGATTCTGATGACCTCATAAGCATGGGATCCAACGACAGTAAGTACAGGTATCACTTCTCTCCTGTTTGGAAATCACCCACTGGAGTGTCAGTACAAAGGATGAGGTGGACTCCCAGGTGGAAAAAACAACCAAGAACCGCGAAGCCACCGTTTAAAAACCAACCAACCCAGCCAACAACCCCAAACCCCCACAAGCAGGAAAAAGCCTCGCCCCAACCAGCAATCCTCCTACTTTAAACACTTTGGCCCATGCCCTGTACGAACCCACGCTTGGGAGTGGTTTGTGGCATTGGGTTTGCACGTTTTCCCCTTTAAACTGCGGTCCCAGTGCTTGGAGTCACGCGTATGAGGGATGGAGGGACCGATCTGGGGAACGGCTGACGTGGTGTTGCTTAAGTAGAAATGCCGGCGGAGTAAGACAGCCGGCTCACAGGATGTCAGGCTGCAGAAAACCACTCTTCCGTATTTCTTAGTGGCTGCATTGTGTTGCGCTGCTGTGTGCGTTCTCTGTCCCTTCAGCCGAAAGGGCCCTTCTTTCACATGGATAAGTACTGCGTGGACAAGCTCTCGGTGTTTCGGTTGGGGAAAGCGCTTTAGAGACCAGCCTGCCGTTTCGGAATGATTCTGGCGGCAGCGGGTCTCTGATTTTCACTTTCCGTTGTGGGTGTGTTGAGAACACCTTGTAATCGATGTGGGCTTTGTTGTACGGAATGTGCTGTGTGTCCATAGCATGGCCATGACTTTCGAGGCTTCATTTTGTCCCCTGCTTGAGCCTGCTCCCCGTGACGAGAACGTGAGTGCGAACGAGCACGGCCCTTGCCAGCGCAGCCGCCGTTGAGTGAACCACGTGGCACCTGGGTAGCCCAGGCGGCTACGTGAAACGGTTTCAGTGCATTGCCAACCCTGCGGATCTCCTTGTCGGGCTTCCCTGAGGAATCAGAATGTAGAACAAACTCCCAGCAGCGCGGGCCTGGCCCGTGTGAGGTGGCACTAGGCCATGCATGCGTTTGCCTGGGGAGCCCCGGTGCTGCGGCACAGACCGAGCTCGAGGCACCCTGACTCTGAAACGTGAGGCGTACGCCGGGCGCAGACTCACCTGCGGCAGAGCTGAGGAGCAGGTTTTCCAGGTTAAGGGATCCGTGTGTCAATAGTTCCTCGCTCGTGCCGCTCGTTGCCTTCGCAGGTAAGCAGAGAAGGGGAGCCACTTCATCCCGTTTCTTCAGCCCGAGATGAAGGAGTGGGGAGTGTTGCTTCTCCTCTCTTTGGCCTGTTCTGGCCCCAGCGCGTCGCCGTGTGTTCACTGAGGCTCAGGGTGAAAAGGAGGGAGCGGGGTTAGCTGGAATGTACGGTACCAGCTCACAGAATCGTATGAGTTGCCAGAAATTCTGGAAATCAGTGTAGCTGTGTGACTTCATCAGGGCTGAGTGAGAATGATGCTCTGGCGATGCCTCGTGTCTGTCAGCATGTTGTGGCTTTATGCTCCCTTTAAATACTGCCCTGCGGGTTTCGACCTCTCCCTGCCGCGAAGCCCCCGGGTGCTCGGGAGGAAAGCCGGCTTTGCTTCCTCCGTGACGTGCAGATGTAGCCCGTGCGCATCAGTCTGGTGGTTAATGGCGTCCTGCCAACGTGGTGGTCTCGCGGGGGTCAGATGGTGCGTCTGAAGAGTGCCCCTACAGTCTCCGCCTGCTGACAGCTGTGTCTTCCTGTTCGTAATCCAGTCGAGGCTCTGAAGAAGATCGACATTCCGTCTGTCTTTATCGGCGAGACGTCCGCCAATGCCCTTAAAGAAGAATTCACCTATGAGAAGGGGTAAGTTACCTGGCGTGCAGCCGTGTTTCTCCTGGCATCGCCTCTTTTTAACCTTCAGGGGTTTAAGACGGGGTGGTGGGGTGGCAGCGGCTGGTGGTGTTCCGGGTGAAACCCTCTGCCCGAGAGCAGTGGGCAGAAGGCCTTTCAAAACGGGAGATGAATTGCTTTCCGGCAGGATTTATGGATTTATTAACTGTTGCCCCTTTCACTTCCACACGGCGTTAAGCAGGAGTTCAGCTAACGATCCAGGGCTCGGCGGTGTTCGGGAGCGTGCGTATTTCAGACCTGAGGGCGTGTTCCTTCCACGGTGCCTGTCAGCTCCCTTGGAAGGCAGATGCTGGTCTTTAAAAAAGCCAAACCAAAACACCACACAACAAATCCGAAAACGTCCATTATTAATAGTTCCAGGCCGAGCCCCACGTGCCTTCCCGTGCCGGGGAATCTGCGGATTACAGAACTGCCAGCGCTTTTACACGTGGTGCCTCTCGGGGGTTTCTGGCCGCCTGTGCCAACAGGATGCCGATGGGTTGCATGTCCCTAAGGATCAGTGCTTGCCCATACCAAGTGTAGCATCAGGTGCGCTAGGAAGGCTTTTGGTTTCTCTCCTGCAATTCGGTGATTCCAGAGGACGGAGTGTACGCTTTCCCATGCCGCGTGGTTTGAAATGAACCCCCTGGTACCCCGCAGGGCGTGGGTAAAGAAGATGACTTCACAGCAGCTCTGGTGGTCGTGTGATTTTTCCTCATTTGACATCGGAGCTGCCATGGAGTTGTGTTCCTGGCTGCTTTGGATGTATTTATGGTTGAAGCCAGCAAGAAGTTTTAACTCCAAAAATGTTCTAAGAAACAGGTTTATCCTGGTGTTTAATTGGCTTTGCACAGCAGTATCTGCTGTGCTTCCCGTGTGGCTGTGCACAGGTAGGTGTTCTGTCAGCCTCTCTAGTGACAACCTTTTCTTTTAGTAGTGTCTTTTGTTGTGTTTATTCTTTAGTTCATTGTTCATTCTGTTCTAACCTGTTTAGAAGGCGTTATCTCTTTCTCCCCACAGTGGCCACGTTGTGTTGATCCCAGAGTTCAGTCTTCCTTTGGAGTACTACTTAATCCCTTTCCTAATAATAGTAGGGATCTGTCTTATCCTCATCGTCATATTTATGGTAAGTTTCCCCTTTTAATGACATGTATCAAACAAATCATCACAGAACTGTCCCTGGCTGGAGCCCAGCGGTGGGGTGCAGTAAGGAGCGGCGAAAGCTGTCTGTACTGTACGTACTTGTACCACGCTTCCCTGGAACCCTGTGTTTTCTCGAATAATGAACAGGAGCAGAATTTTGGCAAAGGGATGGCAGGAACCCTTAGGGTGTTCTGCCTGGCACATAATACTCTCACAGGACTGTCTTCTCTGCTGTTCTTCCACTGCCAAGCATTTGCTCTTTGCCCCGTGAAGAACCACCCCTCCTTGTGCTCTCGTGCACTGAGAGTACGTCCCCCCTTTCCGAACTCGTACTGCTCAGTGAACGCTAGTTCCACTGTTCCACGGTGCGGGTCTCGCTGTTACTGCGGGTGTTGGCGAGCGTGGGGCCTGCTGCGCCAATGTTCGGGTACATGTTACCTACAGCGGCTCACAGTTGAGGGGCTGAGTTCTCTTGGAAGAAGCCACGGAATCACAGAATGATTTGGGTCATAAGGGACCTTAAAAAATGATCTTGACCTCACGCCACCAACCCCCTTCCACCAGACCAGGTTGCTCCAAGCCTCATCCAGCCTGGCCTTGGACACTCCCAGGGATGGGGCATCCACAGCTTCTCTGGGAACCTGTCCCAGTGCTCCCCACTGACATCATAAAAACTTGCTTCCTTATATCCGGTCTAAACGTGTTGCCTGTCACAGATACTGCTGCTTCTGATTTGGCCTTTTAAAAGCTGCATGGCTTTGTGTCAGCGTGCCGATGCTCTGCATCAGAACAATGTTTTACTCTGTGTGTGAATCTGAGAGTTCCCAATTCCAGATAAAACATACAGGGAAGAACCATCTGGGCAGTCCCAAAGGAACTTGTGGTGAGAAGAGAAATAAACGTTTGGGGAGGAAGATTTCAGGCGCTTAAACTCATTTACTAATTGCCTTGCTTGTGCACTGCGAGGAAATGTGAACCAGGGCACGTCTGTGAACTGTGATTAAGAATTTGTTCTCCCAGATATGTCCCAGTTAGGAAAGCAAAGGCTGCGAGACTGGAATTTCTCCTCTGGTAGTGTCAGTGTGTAGGCAGGGCTGAAATGAATGGCTCTTTCCACGTCTTAGGGTCATGTTGTAGAAGAAAACCAGTCAGGAACCAGGAGGCAATCACGCTGTATGTCCGTAAGTCAGGGTTACCTCCGCTGTGTGTGCGGGACAGGTGTTTAGAGGGTGTTTGCCAAGGATACTGAATTAGGAGATGCTGATTCCCTTGTGTGTAGAGGGGCCTTAACAGAGAGACCTTGACAGATCAGAGCACCAGTCAGTTGGTGCAGTGAACGAGATCCCAGGGAGGTTCCGGTTGGATTTGGTCCTTGTCCATTTGTGGTTTCGGCCCTGCTTCTTTCAGCAAAGCCCGCTTTTAGCTGAGGAATGAGGGGGGGCCTGGTTGTCAGTAAGCATCTGAACGGCAGCAGGGCAGCCCGCAGTTCACGCGTGGAGCTCGTCGTTAGCCGGCGTAAAAAGGGTCTGAAAGAACTGTTTAGATCCAAATATGCTTGAAAGGTGAAGCCAGGTGTGATGCAGAGGGATAAATAAATTCTATTTTGCCAAGGTTCACTACGGTTTCAAGTGGCCCTAATAATCTGTCCATAAGACCCACGTTCCTGTAAAAAGAGACTCTCTTGTGATGTGTACCGATGCCGCCCGGGCTCCCAGGGCGAGGGACGGTTATGGAGCATGGGGGGTGCAGAGTGCCTCTACGATTGCAGCAGGCCTGTCGGTGGGTGTGCTTTGGGTCAGGCCTGGTGGTGGCTCTGTGTTTGTCATCATGGTGGAAAAAGAATGTCAGATTCCGAGCTGAACAGGAATAGCGTTGGGAGCCATCAGGAGGATGGACGCAGAATCTTTCGTACAGTTGCAGACAGCAAGTAACTGTGGCTTGAAGTAACCCCTTTGCTCCTCCCCAGAGTACCGCTGGGTACGATGCAAACACTTGGGGTGAACGTGGGAGTAGTCCTCTGAAAGAGCTGCGGTAACTGAACCTGGGGCAGAACAGGCCAAGGGAATGAGCTGTTTGCTGTGGAAGTGCCTCCCCGCTGTGCGTGGGCCTCAGTGCAGCACTGTAGCGGTGGCTGCTCCTGTGGAGTATGGACACCCTTTTTTCCCCTCTTCCAGAACAAGCTTATGTGTCTTCAGTTTCAAGTGCCACGGTCATGGAGAACATCCCTTAGGCTTGTTTGGCCTCAGCCGTTAGTCGGGGCAAGGGCAGGGGTGACTCCCTCTGAGCTGGGTTCCCTTTTCGTTAACTTGCTGCAGAGACTTAGAACCCGAACTTTTATTGGTCCTTTACTGCGTTAACTTGCTGCTCACATTGTCTGACTTCTCTCTGTTCCCAGATCACTAAATTCGTGCAAGACAGACACAGAGCAAGAAGGAATCGGCTTAGGAAGGATCAGCTCAAGAAAATTCCTGTACATAAATTTAAGAAAGGCAAGTGGATTGCTCTCTGACTCATTAGACCTGTTGTTTTAACACCAAAACAAATCTGAGGTGCGGGTCTGGAGAGTCAGGGGTGAAAACACACAAAGGGTTTGGCTTGTTCTCACCGATGAGGAGTTCCAACACTTCCTTGATGGAAGCAGGGCAGGCTCCATACGCAGACCGGGGCTGGGAATCAGTGTTGCATCACGTACCGCAAAATGAGTGCGGAAGTGCCACCCAAGTTCCTTGTTGGCTTTCATTAGTGACCACAGCGGTCAGCCACAGTGACGCGTTGTTCCCCTGATTTGGAACTCCCACCTGGAGTCCTCAGCACAAGAAGGACATGGACCTGCTGAAGCAGGTCTGGAGGGGGCCCCGGAGATGCTCCGAGGGCGGGAGCCCCTCTGCCCTGGGGACAGGCTGGGGGAGTTGGGGGGTTCAGCCTGGAGAAGGGAAGCTCCAGGGAGACCTCAGAGCCCCTTCCAGTGCCTGGGGGTGCTACAAGGAAGCTGGGGGGGGCTTTTCCCAAGGGCAGGGAGTGACAGGACAAGGGGTGACGGGTTTGAACAGAAAGAGGGAGATGGAGATGGGACATGGGGAAGGAATTCTTCCAGTGCTCCCCACCCTCAGCGGGGACAGCTTTGGAACACTTTGGTTCTACTTCTGTGAAATCTCTCCCTTACATTACTTTCCTCAAGTCCTTTTACCAAAAGGACAAAATTTGACCCAGGACTAGCAGTGCCGTTGGCAGCTCTGGTGAAGGTGCATTGCGTCGTGGTGCGTACGGGGAAGGGGATTTCCGAGTCACTACTGTGCCGTCCACTCACGTCAGGCGTCTTGAAGCTACACCCAGGCTAGCTTACCTTCTGCTTTGGACGGGTGGGGGAAACTAGCTCCTCTGCCTGCAGTCCTGGATTGAGGAGAGCTGGATTTTCTTTTGTCTCTGGCGAATTCTTAAAAATCCGTTGGTATTGGGACAGATCGGAACGTTGGCCAGATGCTGAGGCTGAGATGCTGAAGATGCTGGCCGTTCTCCTGCCCTGCTTTGTGCATCTGGCAGTGGCTTCGCTGCTGTCACTGGGTTCCTGGGAGAAAGCTGGCTTCCTGGGATTACTGGAAGTCGGTTGGCAGACGGCATCGGGGTGAGGATTGTCCTCTGGGGGCGACTGCACGCGGGTGTAGCCGAAGGATCGTTAACGCAGGAAGCACACGAACCATCAGCAAGTCGGGATATTCGGAGAACAGCTTAGAAAACTACAGGCTCTCAGTGTTGTGAGCTGGTGTGTTGCAGAACTCCTCCAGGAACAGCGCAGTGATACTCCCAGGCTCGCTGAGCTGCACGCTAAGCGCAGTCGGGGCAGGGCCTGCCAGGGCTCTCAGACCTCGGCTGCAGCCAGGCGCCCGCGTAACCTCCCTCCTGTCAGCACGGAAGCACTGCGTGTTGGCTGCTGCGGCAGAGCTCTGTGGGCACGCTATGGCGACGCTGTGAAGGAATGAAGCTGTGTTTTCCTACGCTGAAAGGTGGGACCTCGCTGAGTGGGCAGGTGCCTGATGAACCCAGAATCTGGGAGTCGCTGCCTCCGCACGCCTGAGTGGGGAGTTTCGGCTGCACAAGGAACACAGAAGACAGAGGAATGGCATGCAGGTTGGCTTCCTTTGCCACCCCCCGTGGTCCCGCCACGGACAGCCCTTGGCCGGCTGTGCGCTCCGCTCTGTGCAGCACCGCTGAAGTGTTGGAGCCCGTAGGGAACACCCTTAGAGCAGAACAGCCATGGCCCCGCGTGAGATCCTGCTCTGTGTGTTCACCCTGCAGAAGAAAGGTTCCCCATCAGGCGGCGGATGTGTTTTTGAGAACGCGGACAGCACCTTTGGAAAAGCCTGGAAGGGAGCCGTTCCCATGAACGTGCTCCCTGCTGAAGGCGCGCAGCCCAGCCGGCGTTAGTGGCTGTAGGCTTCGGAGAGCCACGTGCATGGCAGTGCCGGACCCAGTGGGGAAACAACTACGGAAGTCCGTCCCGTACGGCTGGGGTTCACATCGTGGGCAGGATTTTGCCATTGGAATGCTGCAAAAGGCGCTGTAACGATGCAGCTAAACCCAAACTCGGATCAATCAAGCAGCCCCATCGTTAAGCTTCCTTTTCCTGGGGAAGGGCACTGACAGGGTTAATGAAAGTCCTGGTCGAGCTGCTTTTCGGAACTGCTGAGTCTCGAAGTGTCCATGTTTGTGCTTTAGGTATTACTGCCTTACCTGAACTCAAACAGAAGAGTAGCACTTCTGCCTCCTTTCTGTCACCAGACAGCTCATTTTGCTGATTCTCTGTTCCCGAAGCTGCGTTCCATGTGACACTTGAGCTTGGAGCGGTGGTGGCAGCTCACCTTTTGGGGCTGCGCCTCGTGGAGGAGCCAGCGGCGTCACCTGTGTCCGCTCACAGCTTCCGTGGAAAGCTCGGCTCCTCCCCGGCTGGGGCCCAGCTCCGAGTTCTGCGGGATGCGCGTTGTCTCCTCGCGTGCTGGACAGAGGGCAGCGCCGTGCGGAGGGGCACATGAGAACGGAGGCTTTCGTTGAAAACGGGCTCTGGGGAGCTGCCGTGGCTCATGCTGCCGCCTGTGGAGATGCGCCGGGTTCAGCCACGCAGCACCAGAACAAGCGCCGAGCTGTTTCCAGAGGGGCCCTCCTGCCGGCTAGCTTCATCAGGGCGAAGGGAATGCTTCGCGTGTGAGCTTCCCGGCAGCGCGGGGTGAGCTCACCACCCGGGTCTGGGCCTGCTGTGGCTGCACCTCGCTGGCTTCGGCCCCGAGACTTCCACCGTTTCCCTGAAGCAGCGCTCTGACCGTGCCTGTGCTGTGGCAGCTCTACTGGACACGCTCGGGGCGTGATTTGTCCCGTTCTCCCGTCTGGCGCATGCTGGGGCAGCACTTTGGGAGCAGCACGGGAATTGCTGTGCAAAGCCCCGCGTGCCAGGCCGTGCGGCGCCACGATGGCTGTGGGATCGTTCACGGAGGAGGCTCTGACTCGGGCCCTGGCACAGTTGGCCACGCACTTGGGTCTGAGCCCCCCAGGGCCACCCTCAGTGCCAGCACCAGCCAGGATTTAGTGCGACCGAGTCCGGAGACGATGTGGAAGTTCACTGGGAGAGGATGCGGGTGATCCTGCAGGGACAGGAGTGGGGAACAGAGAGGTACTGCCTGCCGGGGGGGGCTCAGGTCACGTGGGACTTGGAAGAAGTTGGAAGGGGGTGGGGAAGGCTGCCCTGAGGGCACTGGGAACAAGATCTACCATCTCGACCCCTGGAGTGTTGTGATCGTGGGGGGCTCGTTGCTCTCACGGGGTCCCTGCCTTGCTGCGTGCCTTTTCCCACCGGGACTTTGGTGGCTGGGAGCAACCTTCTGCGCGCGTGCTCCTTCGGACTGGCGCCAGCACGCTGCTGGAAAGCCCCTGTAAACCCCAACAGGGATGAACTGGCTCGCAGGAGCGATTGTGTTTTGGTCAGCGATGGACGGGGCGCTTTGAGCCGCAGCACCATGCGAACCCTCCCGCGACCAGACTGTCCTTCCGCGTGGTGTTGGTGCTGCTTCACCCGCTCAGTGTCTGCTGGTTTCCTGCCGAAGTTTTCCAAGCAACTGATCCCTGTGTAGGAAAGCAAATCCTCTATTTTAAACCCTTTTCTCTCACTCTGATAGGAACAACAGAATATTCCAGAGGGCGCTTGCGGAGTTACAATGTTTTTCTGGACCCGGGGGAGGTGGCTGCGCTGCAGCCCTGGTAGGGGGAGAAGCCTGGCAGTCGGCTGTAAAGCCTCGGGGACCCTGTCCCCGGGTGGGCTCGGGAGAGCGGTGGCAGCTTCAGCCCGGGAGCCGCTGCGGGTGTGGGGGAAGGCCTGGGCGAGTCGTTGAAGTTAAACTGGTTCCCGTTGTGTGCTGTAGGAGATGAATACGATGTCTGTGCCATTTGTCTGGACGAGTACGAGGATGGAGACAAGCTCAGGATCCTTCCCTGTTCCCATGGTAAGCAGCTGCGGTCCAGGTTTGGCGTCTGTAGTGGAGGAGCTCTCGGACCCGCGGTGAAGATGTTTGTGGATGGATTTATGGAATGTGTTTTGGTGGGATGCAGGAGTGTGTGTACAGATAGGGAGAAGAGCAGCCTTTTCCCTCCTTCTAAAGTGCAAAAGGCCAGCATTCCCAGTGCACTTCCTGGGATGGACACGTGAAATGAAACTGGGGCTTGGCAATGTCCCGAGTGTTGGTGTGTGGTAGGGAAACACGTTCCAGAGTTACAATTTACCGTTTAAAAAATGGGCCTTCCCTTTCTCCAAGGCAATTAAACCTGCAAGCGTAATTCAGCTGTTAATGACACCGACACGGTCTC